ATCATGGGGTGGTCTTCTTTCACTCTTCGTAGTGGAAATTCAGCAATCCAGTATTCTAAACATTAGTCACATGCAAATATTCCTTTGAGAATTTAAGATAAATTGGGTGTTATGGTGAACATCTTTAATCCCAACATTCTGAGGCAGAGGCAGAGGCAGGCAGATCTTTGTGAGCTTGAGGCCAGCCCTGTCTACATAGTGAGTTCTATGACAGCCAGGGCTATGTAGAGAGATCTTGTTTCAAAAAACAAACAAGCATCTGAGACAGAAAAAACAATTTAGAAATACAAAATTATGTATCTTTCAGAGGTTGTGAAATGGGCCAAATATATTTAAAAAACATTTATTGTTTGATTATACATTAATAAATGTTAAGTATGTTGTTTACTTAGTAATTTTAAAGGGTGAATTTATGTTTTGTGTGAATGCATATTTTGCCTGTGCAGAGGCCATGAGAGAGCATTGGATGCCCTGGAACTGGAGTTAAGGAGAGTTATAAGAGGTGTGTGGGTGCCAGACTGAGACCAGGTCTACTGCAGAACAGCAAGTTCTTTGTTTTGTTTTGTTTTTCGAGACAGGGTTTCTCTGTGGCTTCGGAGGCTGTCCTAGAACTAGCTCCTGTAGACCAGGCTGGTCTCGAACTCACAGAGATTCACCTGCCTCTGCCTCCCGAGGGCTGGTGTGCGCACCACCACCGAACTTGGGTTGGTTTTTTGGACAGCAAGTTTTTATAACTGTTGCTGCATCTCTCCAGCCTGGAAAGATGCTTTTAATAATTATAAGGGAAGAAGGAATGCTCATGTAGATGCTGTTCTACATACTACTTCTTTAGTGTAAACATTTTAATTCAGTGCTAAAATCTGTGTATTCTTATGAGGATGAAAAACTGGATTCTATAATGAATACAGTTAAGTGAATTAGATGTTTACAATGGCAAAGAACAGGTTTCTGGGAGCCCTGTCCCACTGAATTAGATGTGGGCTGTGGTGATGCATAGATAGTAGAGAGGAGTAGAGGGGACTAGTGGAGCGTTTTCTACATTAGCACTGATGTGAACACTTTTCTCAACACATTAGAAAGCAGTTGCTGTCTTCTACATTCCCTCTAGCGTAGAGTTGTGTAAAGTAAGGCACCTGTATTTGTGATGCCAAAATGAAAGAGAACAATATATACTTAATGAGGATATACTTTGGTTTCAAAGGGAACTAGGTAGTTGTTTTTCTGAAATGCTTGCTTTTGTCATTTTATAGTACAATTTAGTATGGTTTTCCCCTACTCAGTAGACAATGGTATTATGGTTGGTTCTAATTAAGGATGTTTTATGGACCTGTGCATTTCTCTGAATATGTAGATAACAATAATAACTACACTCAAGATAACCCTGTAACAAACAAAATTCCCATGTTTATCAGCTTTTAAGGTTGGTGCTTTAAAATATGAGTTGAGTATGGGGATGGGAGATGGCCCAGTGGGTTCAGTATTTGTTGCATATGCATGAGGACCATAGTTCAGATCTTCATCTTTCAGAGAAAAGCTGGGTGTTGTGTTGTATGGCTTTAATCCCAGCACTGGGGGAATGGGGACAGGTGGATGCTGGCAGTTGGCTGATTGTCCAGTCTAGCCAAAATGGTGAGCTCCAAGTTCAAAGAGATGTCTTGTCTCAAAAACAAGGTGGAGAGTGATAGAGGAAGAAAGGCACTCTGACATTGATCTCTAGCTTCCATATATGCATACACTTGTACATACACACACACTGGCTCACACACAAACACATATAATAACACATACACATACTCACACACACACACACCAAAGCAGACACACCTCTCACACACACACCACCTCCACACACAATATTAACTAATAAGTGAATAATGTACTAGCCCTTTGAATATTTCACCCCTTAGAAGTTGTGCTAAGCACACTAACACATGCATATTCCACACACATACATACACAAACACAAATACCAGTTAAGTAATAGGTAAGTGAATGAGGTACTAGATCTTTAAATGACCAAATATTTAGTCATTTAAAAATTTTGCTAAACTATAAACATAAGATTTACTATTTTAATCATTTTAATATACAGATAACTAATATTAAGCACACTCTTACTGGCAAACAGCTGTCATCTCTACCCATCTCCAGAATTTTTGCACATAAATGGGTTTTGCTCTAGCAAATAAAATAAATATTTTACCAAACAAATTCTGGCAGTGCAAAGAACCCTTATATACTACTGATGGGAATGTAAATTAGTTCATTCACTATGGAAGCCAATTCAGAGATTCCTCAAACAATCAAAACTAGAACTACTACATACTCTAATAACATTACCTAGCTGATGGAATCTAAGTAATCATAGGACATAAATACCTGCACATCCATATTTATTACATGACTCACAACAGGAAAGATGGAATCATCTTGGATTTGTAACAACAGATGAATCAATGAACAAAATTTAATTTATTGTATACAAGACCTGCATAAGATCAGACCAGATAAAACACCCTCGAATACATGAGGAAGAAAGTCATGAAGTTTCACTGCTAGCTGAGGAGCTAGGTAACTGATGGCCGCTGTGTGTGTGTGTGTGTGTGTGTGTGTGTGTGTGTGTGTGTGGTCAGTATTCTTCAGGAATGCAGCCTGTGAGAGGCTCCCCATGCCCCAGTGGATGGTCAAACACCCATTCACATATAGGCAGCACTAAGTCAACTCACTGATTTAAAAAAAAAAAGAGCATAAGAAGTTGGGAGGAAATAGAAGTGTGTGTAGGAGGATAGTAGAAGATTTCCAGGGGAGAGAATGAGGTGTAAGTTTCATACTTTAAAAATATTAATATTAAATACAAATTTAAAAATTAGTGCAAGAAGAAAATGTGGTATATAAACACAGTGGCGTTTTACCAGCCTCTAAGGTAAACAAAATTGTATTATTTGAAAGAAAGTGATGGAGCTGGAGATGATCATGGTAAGCAGAATGAGACAATTATGTTTTTCTCTCATATATACAATGCATGCTTAAAATATGTATATGAGGCTTGGTAATGGGGCTCAGCAGGTAGAAGTACACACTATACAAACTCAAGTCTACTGACTTGAGTTTGACCCTTGGAACCCAAGTCAAAAACCAGATACAGAAGTGAGCGTCTGTAATCCCAGCTTTCCTATGGTGAGATGGAGGGTCATAGGTCAGCTATCCAGAGTATGTGGTGAAACAAGAAACTTTGTCTCCAAAACAGGTGGAAGAAGGGAACTTGTCTTCTGACCTA